GACCAGACTCCCAGAAAGTTTTGCTGCTGAGTATCGAAAACATTTCCAAAACGATTCTCTACGATCCTTCATGTATTCATTCAACAAATATTTCTGAAGTCCCAACTACATACTGGGTTCTATGCTAGGTATGGGGGGTTCAACAGAGAACACCCTTTGAGATCATGTATAGGACTGCATGCTCAGAACACCAACACTGTCTACAAATTCACAGTTAAGAAACTAAAATCCTGCCAGAGTCAGAACTTCAGGTGGTCACCAATGCAAACCTAGAAACTCAGCTCACAACTAAGGATTCTCTGCTGTATCCTATGCCTGTGTCCACAAAAGGCTGGTCTTAGCATAGCAGTTGTAAGGGCCTAGCTTGCTCCATACAGGATAGGGTTGACACCAGGACCTAATGTCCATGGTGACAGACTGTCCATGGCAGTGGACATGTACACATTATTGCATGTAATAATTATGTAACCCTTCGTGCCTTTGTTTCTTTATTTATAAGTGGGGAATCCCATTTCCTTGATAGCAATATTCTCTGGATTCATGAGTTAATGTGTATAGAATAAGCACTACTTGACCCATAGAAAATGCCATGTGCTTTGGATGTCTTTCCTATCATCACCATCATGATTACTAATAGTAATAGGATAGGGCTCCTTAATGTAGACATATAAGGTGGTTAAAAGTTCAGGTCCTAGAGTTGGACCACCCAGGTTCTAAATCCTCTGCTATTTTCCAGCTATGGAACCTAACAGAAGCTCTCTGGGCCTCACTTTTTCTCATCTCTAATCATCATGGTAACTACAGTCCTTGCCCCATATGGTGAATGAGAATCAACAGAAAATAAGGCATGTAAATTGCTTCACACAAAACCTGGCCATAATAACTATTCAGTAGATAGTAGCTATGATTGCTTTCCCCCTCTTTCTAAGTGGGTGCTGTCACTGCAATTGTCCTTTTTGAATCCATTTTTGCATATCATATGTATATATGAGGGTAAAATCACCATCTAGTCTATAGACTACAAAATGGCTTAACAAAATCATAACAGAAACTGGAAGATAAATAAACATCACAGGAAGACTGCGGATTTTGAGGTCAATAGGCTGCATCACCAAGTGCAACTGGGATGTCACTTCTCCACACATGTTCCTTGGGTTGCTGTCTGTTGGACAGCATGTGAGCATTCTGTGGTTGTCTGCATGACAGTTAAATTATGTCAGGCTTTAGAATTATGTAAGTGTGGAAGAAGGGGGGTATGTCCCCCTACAAAAGGGTAGAATGAACTAGAGAACAAACTAGAATGAACTAGAGTCCTGTGGACCAACACCATAGGAAAACCTTCAGCTACCTTCAGTGTCTACAGAGGGGTGGCTGCCATGTTTAAACCACAAATGACCCCAGAACCCAACAATGGTGGCCAAACAAGTCTGGAGCAATCAGACTCCACAAACTCGAACACAAACACTTTCTATGGATCACATTGGTGTAGTGAGAGTTCAGAAAGGGAGGAAGTCAAATTAATTAACTTGTGCATAATTAAAAACATTCATTTTTATACTAATCCAAGCACAGGTATGTTATAAAAAAGAATGAAAACAAGGAAAGAGACCACATGAAGTTCTAAAACACAACCCAAGATTAGAGGCATGTACTGCCTTCTGAGGTTACCCTCTAGCCTCAACCCCACATCCTAGGGGAGGTTGTTTGCTGCCGATTTAATTAGGGGACCTTCACGGGAAAGTTTGAGAAGTCCTGGGGTGGTGGGAAGAGTAGAGATGTAGACATTGGAAGACCTAGATTAAAGGTGGAGGGCTCTGGCACTTATCTCACTATCTTGAGCAAGTTGCTTAATGGATCTTTAGCCTCCTCGTTTGGAAAATGAGATGATCCTCATAGAATCAACCTCAGACTTGATGCGGGGCTCAAAAGAAATAATACATGTGGAAGTGCTGTAAAAATATCACAGAAGATTATTAGAGAGAGGGTCTACAGAAATCGGTTGCCTTAGCACATTTGAGAGCTGCAGTTAACCTGCTATAATTGTGAAAGTGGATTCAAAGTTGGTGGCAAGGCAGAAAAAGTAATGGTCCAGTGTGTAAACAGCTGAGTACACACTCACTGCACAAGCATCTCATAAATTACTCCTTAGCAGAAGCTGAAGGGGAGGAGGATCAGTGATAAGAGGTAAGAGAACCAGGAAGTGGGAAAATACAACCCAGTCAGTCCCATCACTTTTCTACCTATGGTTGATTGAAGATGGAAAATAAGAGGCAGCTAGGAGGAGAGGGAGAAAGAAGGCAAGCGAATCCAGCCGCTTGTGCCTTGTAGCCTGTGGATTACTGTTAAAATTACTGTGTCTGCTCTAAAGGAATCGCTGTTGGAATCTATTGAGGTTCCCTCTAGAGTGTGTCAAGTCCTGCTCCTGTTTTAGGCACCTGTAATTCAGCATGCCTTTTCAAAATCACATTCGAGACCTGAAAATAAAATGCAGAACAAATGCAATCAAATGACATCATTCTTCTGAGTGACAGCCAGGGGCACACTGATCCCATGACCCCATTACACAAGGTTGCAACCTGCTATTGTCCTTTCAGTGGCAAAATCAGTGGCACCCTGCACAGAGCATTGCTTACACTAGCAGCCATCAAACAAATATTTGTTGAATTGAGTATCTTCTCTACCTATTTAATAGGTTAGAAAATTGTCAGCTTTTTCATCAAAACTACCACCTTTTTTCATTCAAACTCCTCTTGAAATTCAATTCCATTAAGGCTTTTCAATGCATACTAGCAGCAAGGAATTTACTTAAATGAAAAAAAAAAATGCAAAACTCCAAGCTCTCACCTGTGCAGCCATGACATGCTATTGTTTGAACCAGAGTATATTATTTAACTTGGCTGACAAGCTCAGGGGGTAGAGACCCTGTCTTTCAGAACACGCAACTCTGAGCACACTGGGAGTTCTTGATAAATAGCAGCAGCAAGAAATGCTGTGGAGGGACCCATTTTAATTATTTATTTTTCCAGTTCCAGATTTTTGGCAGCATGTGTTTATCCCTTGCTTGATTTCCAAGGGCAGCTCTCTCGCAGAAGCTCCTGTAAAGATGGATAAACAGCTCCACGACTTCCTCTGCCACTGCCCCTCCCCATCCCGGCACAAGCAGGAACACCTGATTGAGCCAAAACGTGGATTTTGAGTGCATTCAAGATGCTGGCTGGGTTTGAAAGGGAACTGAGTCTTCCAGGACCCAATAGGTAGAGAGACGCAGTCAAGAGAAATGTTTTGGCTCCACACATCGACACAGCTGTCAGATGGCAAGCTTGGACTTCCACCCTTATTACCTGCTGTGGGCCTCTGAGCTGGCTTGTCATTAACCCCAGAGACCAAGTGCGTCTAAAGCTGGACACAAAGCTAATATTTCAGGGGTACTTTCAAGTCTTTCAACAGAGAAGTAGGAAACGATAATTTCACCAAACTTAAACCATTAGATTATAAAGATCTAATAAAGACAGGAATCAAATATTAAATTATATGTGTACGGCAACAGTAAGTCATTTAGGAGGCAAATATCTGTTTTTACATATTTTTTAAAATTATACCAGTAACAAAATGAAGGCATTATGTGTGTGTCCCAGCACACAGCTTGACAGGCAAAGAAGCAGCAAGTGACTGTCTTAAGAAGCCTTGTAAAAGACCTCCTGATTTTTTTCTCCCTGGTTCACAGGGCTAATATTTGGTAAGATGTGCTTTGCAGAGAAAGAAGGGGGTGGGGGAAGCTGTCTTTCTATACACACATTAATACACCTGGGAGCCAACGTACCCCTGTACCAACACATTTTCCAAGCGGTGACTTCTCCCCTTCCTCTCTGACTCATTTTGTACCAAAACAATGGCAACACCTGTAGCCGTTAATTTCTGCGCTTTGATTTTTTGTCCAGTTATAAAGGAGGCTCCCAGCAGGCTCCCCTCTCAGGAGCCATATGTGGAGTTGATGTGCCAGCCGCCTTGGAAGGGAAACGGCCTCCGGAGAAGTGCACAATGGCCCCATAATCCCCATCAACTGGACCCTCTTGAACTGCCTCTTTATTTTCCAGTCAAAGAAATGCCAATCTCAAGATGAAAGCTGTGGCTGCCCTGGGAGCCTAGGGGAAACCTGTGTCGCTTGCCTGGTTCAGCCCAAGGGTGGTGACTCTGAGTTCCGCCATCTAGTCTCGCAATCTGGAGCCCAGAAACTGTGTGTAGTACCCCCAACACTCTCCCTTGCGCTCCCCTCTAGGATGAGGCTTTTACCACAAGGCCACCTCCCGCCCAGCCTCTCCCAGCGGCTGGCGACCACAGCGCACCCTTAGCAGAGCCACGGCCCCGCCCCCTCGCACCGGGTCACGCCGGGGGTTCGGTTCCAGCGCGAGCCTCTTTGCAGGCTGGCATTTCTCCACGCTGAGCGGGCTAGTAACTCTTCAGACCACAGCACTTGCGTTGCCGGTGGGGGGCGGAGACAGGGGGCCACAAAGGCTGGGGTGTGGCAGGGAGCCCTTTAGGTTCAATGGCTTCTCTGCCGAGAGCACTGTGTTTGTTAACTGTTGACCAAGAGGGTCAGACCCACACGCCCGCTGGGACTACACAGAAGGGGCACAGAGAAGTCTGGAGAAGCGAATGGGAAAGAGGGGCTGCGCGAGGAGACTCAGCCCCAAACAAGCGTCCCCGTTTGGATAGGGAAGGATGGCACTGGGATGCAGCCACTAGAGTTTTGAGTCTAACTCCAACCCTCCCCGCCCCCCTTTTTACGCTCTCCTTTTGGGGACCTCAGGCCGTGCTCCAGGTCTCGGGGACCGTCCGAGAGGAGCCTTCGGACGGCCGCCCGCGGTGTGAACCTGAGACTTGGTAAATGTCAACCGGATCTACCCCCGCCCAGCCGCTCGCCCCCAGCTCGTTCTGCCTCGGCGGCGGCGGCTGCTCCCCGGCAGCAGCACTCCCCGCGGCGCCCCGGGGGCAGGACTTACGCAGTGGCTCTCGGCCGTCTTGAAGTCCCAGCTGACCCTCTTGGCGCGCGCCTGGATCTCACTCATCCTGAAGAGGCAGAGCGCCGTGGTGGTGGGGGAGCGCCGCTCCTGGCCCTCTCCCGCGGCCGCGCTGAACACTCCCGCCCAGACGTCCAGGGCCTCCACTAGGCTGGAGGAGAGGAGCAGGCGGCGGCCGTCGGGGTGGCCGTGGCCGCAGTCGAGGGACGCCTGGCCCTGGAACAGCACCTCGGTGCTCTGCGCGATGCGCGCCATGCTGGGCCAGCCGGTGGCAGCGCCGCTCGTGTAGTTGTAGGGGTAGTAGGGGAAGTAGATGCTGCCGTTCCAGAGAAAGGCGTCTACGAAGTGCAGGCTGCCCGCGCCCTCGCACAGCTTGAGGCGGCCCAGCTCCTGCGTGGCCAGGCTGCGCCCCTCCGTGTCCTTGAGCGCGATGGCGGTGTCGTGATCGGATGCCGCGGGGTTGCAGCGGCTCGCCGTCTCTGGCTCAGGCAGCACGTAGGTGGCGGCCACCGCCAGGTACCAGCGGTTGTTCTGGCCCGCGCGGTACACCACGCCGGCCGTCGAGCCTTGCGGGTGGCACGACACCACCTCGGTGCCGTTGCGCAGGGAGCTGCGGCTCAGGTTGCCCAGGGGCCGCACCTCGCAGGCGCCCCGGTCGAAGGTCCAGCCGGTGAGCAGCAGCCCCCCGAGGCCGGCCGCCCCCTCGCGGTAGGGCAGCAGCAGCTTGCTGAAGCTGCTCCCGGGCCGGGGCCGCGCGGGGGGCGCCAGCGAGACCGGCTCCGTGCAGTTGCCCGCTTGGTCCCGGTACAGGCGCGAGAGGCTGTGCTCCAGGCTGTAGTCCAGCTGGTCCAGGCAGCTGCCGCTCGCCACGAACACGCCGTCCTCCCGGCTCGCTGCGATGGCTCCGATGGCTTGCTCTGACCGCCACACGGGCTCGTCCGCGCCCCGGCCGGGAGTCGCCAGTGCCAGCAGATAGGCGAGCAGGGGCAGCGGCGCTGCGGGGCGCGGGGGGCGCGGCGGCGCCTTCCTCCGGGAGACCTCCATGGGGCTGGGGGGGCCGCCCCCGGGCAGGGCGCGCGGCGGCGACGGCGGCTCAGGCGCGCGGCAACGGAGACGCGGGCGGCGGCGGCGGCGGCGGTTCCTGCGCGCGCTCGGGCTCCCGCGGCCGCCCCATCCCCGCAGCTCACCCGGGAAGGAGAGCGGGGAGGGCGGCGCGCGGCGGGCTCGCTCCGGCAGCCTGTGCAGCGGCGGCGGCGGCAGCAAGCCCTGCGCGCTCCGGCACCGTTTCCTCCTCGCCCTCCTTCGCCGGAGAGTTCCTGTGTGCAGCGCTGGCGCTCGCGGGGAGGCGCGGAGGGGAAGGGAGGGGACGGGCGGAGAGGAGCGAGGCGGGCGGGGAGGGCTGGAGAGGTTGGGTGCGCTTGTGCGTTTCACTTTCCCATTGTGAAAGTGGGATGCAACTGGCCCCCTTCCTCATCCTCTTCCTCCTCCGCCCTCCGCCTCCTGCCCGCCCGCCCGCCCTCCCTCCACGCCCATCTCCCCTCCCCTCTTGATTCGGTGAGATAGGGAGGAGGGAGGTCTCGTAATTTGGGTTACTGTGTAGGTGGCCTCTTTCATCTATTCATAACAAAGCTCAGCCGCCCGCCACGGCCGCCGCGGCTGCCACCATCGCCCCCTTGGCTCGCCTGGGGCTCCCGGGGCGCGCTAACGGCGCACGGAGCGGGCTCCCGCGCCCGTCCGCCCGCGGGGCTGCTCCAACGCCCGGTTTTGTTTACGACAGCAGCCGGGTCGGGGATACGCCAGGCGCGCGGAGCGAGGATCCAGGGTGCGAAGGGGTTGCAGTGGAGGCCCCGGGCTCGGGTCACAGGGCTGCAGCGAGGGCGGCTGACAGGTGTGGAGAGGCGAGAGGGAGGCCCTGGGGAGGAACGCGGGATACGTGGCCGAGCCGGAGACTCCGGGGACCAAGGCGCCCCTGTGACAGGGTGTGGGTTTCCCCGGGTCGGATGAGTGAGGTGGCAGAAAGGCAGGCGCCACACTCTCGTTCTGGACAATCCCCAGGGCCGGAGCGCCCATATTTGCAAAGGTTCTCTAATCTCCCTTGGCAACAGAGTCCCAGGCTCTCAAGCCTAGCACTTGGAAAGTTCTGCTCACCATCTAACCTAATGAGCGGGGCTAACATTTACTGAGCACTTACTACGTGCCAGGTGCGCTTGTAAATTCACCACATGGGTTAAGACTCATAATTCTCATAACAGCTCTATTAATTAGTGACTGTTATTGTCATCCCTACTTAGTAGTCCAGGAGAATGATTATGGAAAGGCTATAGAACGTGCTGGCATTCTACTTCTGGTAGATATCAGAGCCGAGATTCGAATCCATATGTAGCCCCAGCGCCTCTTACATACCTTGCTCTAGTTAAGTGCCACCTGTGGCCATTACCATAATCCTCCAGAGATCATTCTTTGTAGTGAGACTGAAAAGTTCCTCAAGTTAAATGCACCAACCAGCCACCGCCCTGCCTTCTACTATTAGACCCAAGTACCCGTATTTCCCTCGAGGCTCTCCATCTGTCTCATCATTACCCATTTTTATCCTTTGGACCCCCTGAGGTCTCACCACCTCACCCAGAGGGTGAATAACAGCTGGGTTGCCCCCACAGCCACAAGAATTCCATCAATGATTCCACCAGGAATCATTGCCCACTGGGGAATAGGTTCATGATTTCTCAGAATGGGGCTTCCCAGAGGATGCACAAATGCCTCCCAGCTTCCTGGGGCAGCTGGTGGCCCCATCAGCACCCTTACAGTCTGGCAGGTGAGCCAGCGGGCGCATAGGGGTGGAGGGTGCTGAGGACCTCTATGGATCGTTGGGAAATGATCTCTGTTCCTTCCCAGGCTATTTCCAGACCCGAGGCCCCAGGGAGGGCAATCGGCTGCTATCCCCTTTCTTCCTTCCCTCCAAGTTCCCCAGCTCTAGATGCAATCTGTTTTGGGAAGGCAAAGGAATGAGGTGGCTTTTGTCCCATGCTGAGTCCTGCCGAAGGTTGCAGGTTTCAAACTTCTCCAACAGTGCTTCAAGTTCTCCCCAGTGCTGAGTGATATGGCAGGAGTTCTGGAAGGCTTAAGGAGAGGAGGGTGAGGTGGAGGGAGAGGCAGAAGAGAAGTGTAAGTTTCTGCTCTAGACGTGAAGTTCAAGGATCCTATCATTTCAGCAGTGGCTCTCACACACTAAAGTCAGAGTGATCATCTTTTCATTCGTAAGCCTTTCATTTGCAGTTGGATAACATTATCTTTGCCTGGTATGAGGCAGAAAATGTCTTCCCACGAGATATGAGGTTACCCTTTGTTCTGTGATGATGGTTTTGGAGTGTCCATGAGGAGAAGGGAGGAAGAAGGAGAAAGGCCTGAAGTACCTGGTTGTTGTTAATCGGGACATCTCAGGCAAGACAAGTCAGATGTTTCACCTACTCCAAAATATCTGGCCTTGCTCCCCCACTCCCTGCCCTCCTGGAATGCTTTCAGAATTTTTGCACCGCTGGAAGTGGGAAGATCAATATTTTTAAAACCTCATCCGAAGCTCAGAGACCCCCTCCAAAGCATAGTAGGGGATTTATGCGCTGGTGTTTTGACAGTTTTCCCTGTGACTGATGCAGAACTCAGTGACCTTCACTGGCTCCGTGAACCGGCGCCGGCGGTGGCACTGTCGTTATGTGCTAAGAAGCAACAGTTCAATTCCATTCCAGAGATAGTTTTACTTCACTGGTAACCAAGTCATTTCTCTAAGTCCCGTAGAGTTGGTACAATCAGTCGTAGACCATCTCCGGAGCTATTTGGATTAAACATCCTCTGTGGTGCAGCATTTTGATCACTACTCAATTCATTGCCGCTTCGTTTTGAAAAAGAAACAACATCTTAAAAATACTACCCACAAGAAGTATAAATGGCTTTGATGGCTACGGTTCCCTGCCATTCTACTGGGACCATAAGCCCCACTCTTAAGAGTGGGCTTCTTTTTCTTCCCATTTAATTGTATGCAGACTCCTACGGTGAAAGAAATCAGAATCTGTGCTAACTTTTTGGCATGAAAAACGTAGGCGACAAGGAAGCATATAAATGCATTCTTTGCTGATTCTACCCCCATTTTGTACAAACATGCTTGCCCCTTCCCAATTTTCTTGTGTACTAAAGCTCCACCTTCAGGACACAAGTTCACATTTGAAAAGTGTGGGAAATACGAACAACTGAAATAAATATTTAGGCATGCGGGTTCTGTATCTCTTTGATCACTTTCTCTTGGACACCGCCATCTGGCCCAGGGGTGCATGTCCCCTTGGTGACAAAGCTTTCCTCTCCAACTGGCCGAGCCCATCTCATTGGGTGTCACTTATAGCACATTTCGGAACTCCTTGTAACACAACTGGCTGAAACCCAAAAAAAAAAAAAAAAAAGAAGATGGTGCAGATTTATCCTCCAGACAGAGGCCTGCTACCACGGAAACAGGCAGTTCAGACCGATTCTGAGCAGTTTTATTTGCAGCGTTCACTAGATGGGAAAGTCTTCATAATGAGAAAATATCAACTCCCTCAGGCACCGAAGGCAATCTGGGTTAACCAGGCCATCCACAATCACACTCATTTCTGGTGGACAGGACTTTATAGATTCAGTGGTTTCCTGCTGGGGCCCAGGACATGAAGAACTGTTCAGTAGGCAATTGGTCACAGTCACAAGATGGCTATCATTGGTGCTTCAGTTTTCTTTCTGATTTTCTTTTTTTTTTTTTTTTCCCCATCTGACAGTGGTCTGTAGCCTTACTTGGCTGGCAGAGATTGAAAGCAACTGAGAATATTTGTTCTGGTAGTCAGTGAATTCTCTCTAAGCCTCATCTACATAGCTACAACCCCCTGTGCAGAATTTGGGAAATTCTGCCTGTGCAAAATTGAGGAATAGCACCTGTATTGTCCTCTTAGGTTTTAAGCAGACAACTTCTTCTTTCCTCCACAGCTTTGCTGATATCTATGTGGTCTTCCACATCGAGGCCCTTATCAAAGCTCCCAGGCCCTTTTGGTGGCTGACAGGAAAAAGAAATGAGCCAGTCTCCTTTCTAGTCTGCTGATGAGTAGATGGTTGAAAGGAGATTAGAGGAAGAGCTGTTTAATAAGTTCGCATTGGTGCTGAGAGACGAGTTGGACACAGTTCAATCAACTAAAAAGTCTCTCTGACATGGCACAGTTAAGATGTGGCTGAAGGAACTCAGTGCCTCATCTTCTCTGCCCACCCAACATGACCCCAGAAAATTGTGGGCATTCTTATGCTTGGTGATAGTGCCCCCATGCCACGGTTTAAAGTAAGGAAGACTTGTGGTGTTCCTTCAGTAGGTGGGACTTGGGGGTCATTTCCAACATTACAGTTGTCATCTTTTTCTATGTCATGATTTAATAGCTCATGGTCATTCGCCAGCAGAGTGCAAATGTACATTGGAGGGTGTAGTGGAATGTACAAGAAAATGATTCTTTACTCAAAGTCCAATGACTATCTTTAAGCTAAATAAGAGCCTTCACTCCGCTTTAGGGAAGGATGAGCTATTGCCTATGGAAAGGACACAAAGTGTCAGATATGTTTAAGAGACTGCGGAGTCTAGGACATCACCTTAGCATTCTAGCACCTCACTTCTCAGGGAGTATGTTTAGTGTCATGAAGTTTCTCTCGAGCCTTTTCTCCAAAACATTCACCAAAACCATTAGTGGTTAAGAATCGGAGACAATTACTGGTTGAAAGCAAAGTATGGTAAATCATCAGCCATCACAGCGTTTTTCGAGACTGGCTGGAGTTCACCCTGCATGAAGTAAGCAAACTCATCAGTTAATTACTTCTTCAGATTTGGGGAATCTCTGTAACTTGAGCAGTCTCTTGAAAATCACGCTTTTCTCTGATATTCATGGGATTCCAGTCTGTCCCTGCTTGTATTTTCCTTGCTGTTCTTCAGAAATAAGGAGCCAAAAGGGCATCAAGGACTAGACACAAAACACTGATTCCTCTTTAATACGATGTTGTTTCCCGTGTCTTTGCCCTCCCATCACAGCTCTGAGACTCACTGTCAGCGTAATCCTAGACTCTGAATCCTCTGATAACTGGCAGCTTGGCATAAACCCATTCTAAGAGAAGAGCTGCCAGAAACCAGGCCTTCATATTAATAATAACTCCAACTCTTGAAATGAATAGCAGAAGATAAGATAAACACGCAGATAACTTCACAGCCACTTGTACTTCCGCTTCCTTGAGATTCTGGTGGGGAGATGCTCTGAGCTGACAATAAAGTTGCTGGACTTTGCAGTGAGCCCGCTGGTGCGCTCCACCAAGCTGGTGTGCCTTCTCATTCTTATGTCCTTGCCACTCCCTAGAAAATAGCTCTACCAAGGTGGGGAGGAAGCAACCAGTATCAGCTCT